GCTCTGCATGCCCTGGTATGAACTGGGCCATGGGTGACCCACACCTACACAAGGAACTATATTACAACAGTTGACCTCTTGATTGAGGTCCAGCCCCGCTTAGACTGGGTGCAAGTTGTGTTTTTTTTAACTTGTTGTGTCTTATTTGTTTTTAATCTTCTACTATTTCTTATTTCTGTAAGCCGCCCGGAGTCCTCCAGGATTGGGCGGCCTATAAATTCAATAAATGGAAATGGATATCACAAAAATCGTATCCGTATTAGGTTTGGCCAGGCCAATCAAAGTTTTGGCAATTTTCTAATTATTTTTCAGACCTGAGTTTGGAACAAAAGGGGGGAAAAAAACCCTGTGAACTAAAAATAAATGAATAGATGCGAACGAAATAATAAAATGGACACATGTTCATGTCGTCTTTAAATCTTGCAACTACTGCCATATTAAAGCAGAAATCATTCCAAGAAAGCACACTTTACCATGTTGTGACGCCCAGGAGGATAATCTAGAAGGCCAGGTGCCTGTCTATCGCTACAGGTAAACAAAGCCTTCCTCCTTCCAAAGTCATGTGCTTTTAGGAGGAGAGCTCAACTTTGGAACTTGATAGCGGAGCCTCACTCAGCCGCTCTTTGTAAACAATGATGCAAAAAAACCCGCCCCATTCTTGTACTACTTCTGGGCCTGCTAAGGAGAGAACAAGTGTGCAAGTGGAGCAGAAATAGGGCTGAGAGTTGTTGAAAACCATGCCAAGAAACCTTGCCAATGGCTACCTATGCTCTACAACAGTCACTTCCTCTGCATACTGAATTCCCAGCTTTAAGCGGAAGGCCTCTTCCAAGGATTTCCCATATCCCAATAACATAAAACTGTTGTACTTGCAGAGAATCCCAAGAAAGAAGCTTATGAATCTAGAGCCTTTTTATACCTGCATTCCTAGGTTTATTCTATAGCAATAGCAGTAGACTTATATACCGCTTCATAGGGCTTTCAGCCCTCTCTAAGCGGTTTACAGAGAGTCAGCATATTGCCCCCAACAATCTGGGTCCTCATTTTACCCACCTCGGAAGGATGGAAGGCTGAGTCAACCCTGA